TGAAGTCCCTAAACCCTAAACACTGAACCCTTAACACGGAACCCTAAACCCTAAACCCTTAACACAGAACCCTAAACCCTGAGCCCTAAACCCTAAACCCTGAACCCTAAGCCTGAACCCTGACCCTGAACTCTAAACCCTGAGCTCCAGGTCGCTGGTGTCTGGAGGCAGGCCGATGAGATTTGAGCGCATGAGGTTGAAAATCCTTGGCAGACTGGCAAACACAGACTCCTACAAAGGACCCGAGCGAGGGCTTAGGGTTTAGGTTTAAGGAGGGACCTAGTGATATGTAGTGGGTGTAGGGGTTCAAATTTAGGATTCTAGGCTTCAGGGCTTGGGAGGTCGGGCAGGCTTTGGGTGGGCTGAGGCTTGAGGGATCTTGCCTCTGGGTGTGTATGGCTGTGAGAGCTTTTAGGTTTTTGAGGCTTCAAGTGGTCGAGGAACTATGATGGAGGCCCAGCAGAGGGAGGATGGGTTCTGTGCAGAGCCTTTCTGACACTTAAGTAAGTGCCCGTTACAATTTCACATATACCAAAGTAACAAAGACGATGTAGCAGCCACCCGCAAAGAAAGGGAGAATGATTCCAGCAACCTGATTTGTACCCCCGGACCATCATCACGCCTGGCAAGAGACATGAAGGCAAGCAGCTGATCGCCAACAAGGACTTACAAGAAGTCACGGGGACTTCTGAATGGATGTATGAGCACACGCATCTAGGTGCGTTCGCACTTATTTGTACTTTTCCTACTTATGGCCCTACAAATATCTGCTCAGAAGCATCAATTCAAGCAAATAAGCCTTTCCTATCTGCAACCGGCACAGTCCGAGGGAGGAACAGAGACAGCGCGAGATCTTATCCGGACCACATTACACTGCACAAGGCAGATCAAGGTGTCCAGCTTCGGCACTTCTCACAACATAGGTGCTACCAGAGACCTCCAAAATAACATAATCCCTCTAGGCCAGGACTCCACACTGGAATCCCTGAGAGGGACAACCGCCTCACAAATGTTTAGTAAAAGACGTCCGCAGCAAACATTTCAAAAAGATTCACAGGCTTTATAGTATAGTCCCCCTGAAGTAGATAGAACATAGGGTATATGGGGATCTTAGTATAATTATACCCAGAGCCACATTCTATCTACTTAAGGGGGACCATACCCTCAACCTTAGCTCCGGATTAGAAGTTTAAGGATCCTGAAACCCTAAACCCTAAAAAAAGTTTAAGGATCCTGAAACCCTAAACCCGAAAAAAAGTTTAAGGATCCTGAAACCTCGAGTGCTCAGGGGCCCTGAAGCCTCCAATCCTCCACGTAAAGACTTCACCTACGGTGGATACTCAAATCCTGCATGGCCCTAAGTATCTAATACATAGGGAATTAAATTATGGTACCATTGTATTTTAGGGCCATGCAGGATTTTGAGCATCAACCCCCTAAACCCTAAACCCTAAACCGTATGACCTATGGGGCTGAGATTCGCCGATGCTTCGGCGCCAAGAACTCTGCCGTCTGCCCTGCCTCTCCGAGCAGGAGCTTTCACATCCAAGATTTAGAGTCTGGGTTGGCCCCTAAAACCCTTTGAAAAGTATTAGTATATAGGGTCCATTATTGAAGCCATTCGGGAAAATATTCAATATCCCAGGGGCCTACCCAGGAGTTTAAGGTTAAGGGTTTGGGTTGAGTAGACGGTTTCAGGTCTGGGGTTTGCTACAGAGTTGTAGGTTCAGGGTTTAAGGTTCAGGTCTTGAGCCTTATTTGCTCTCCTCCAGAAGCACCGAAGTCTCATTCTTGCACTAGTGGCAGCAATCGCCATCTAGCTAGTTCCAGCCATGACAATCAGCCTGCTCACTGGCTGGGGCTTGGGACGTGGCCGAGTCACGCATCAGCCTTCCGCAAAAATCCAAAACCCTGAACCTAAAGCCTCAACTGTCCCAAGCCTTACACCCTAAGCCATAAACCCCAACACCCCATAACCTAAGCCCCTAAGTTTGAAACTGCCTGGAAGCCAGCGCAAGAGTTGTTGCTGATTTGTCTCAGCAGGCTCATGCTCCCACACCAGGCAGAACTGTGCCTCGCTCAATCCTTGGCAAGCTTGGAGCAACGTGCCCTAGGGTTTAGGGTTTAGGGGCCTAGAGAATTAGAATAGGGTTTTGGGGTACATTATATTATGATTATATGGGTATTATAAGGGGATAATATTGGTAATTTTGAGAACCATGGGCCCTTAAATTGGAGCAAAACTTCCAGCACAACAATTAAAAAAGCGCTAATCTGGAAACTGCTCACATGCATGACCTTGCTGTGCCTACGTCGTCAGCTTTGAGGGACGGAAGGTGATTCTCCATACAGACTCCGTCAACTGACAACCCCAAAAGGAATGATGACCCACTGTGGTAATGTTTGGGTTCTATGGGGGTTATATTGGGATAATGGAAAAGAAAATGGAAACTATCACTTTATGTTATAATGCCACTGCCACTGTTACCTGTCCCTGCATTGCGACTCTTTGCGCACCTTTTTTGCAGCTGTGGCACCACCTTTGTGAAGGCCCAGCATTTGGAAAGCATGGCTCAGAACTGACGCGCTGCATTCTGGCTCAAACGCCATGAGCAAGCCCGCCACATCTGTCAAGGTGACCACCTCAACTTCAACCGTGTCAGGGGCATTGGGGGAGTGGGGGAGTGAATGTAGGGGTTCTTATGGGGTATATGGGGATGATATAGGGATTCTTACAAGGGTTTGCAGTTTAGTTTCCAGGGTTTAGGGTTTAGAGTTTGGGGAGGATCGGGAGTGCAGGGGTAACAGAACCTGTCCATGCAGTTGTCACATATAGAACAGCAAGCACGCAAGGGTTACAGAGAGTGTAAGGCTCCAAGCCAACTCATGCAGTTCCCAGCAAGGACCATGTGAACGCCACCCAAGGACTGTGACATCAGAACTGTTAATATGCAAGAAGGCTTGCTTGAGACTGTTAGGAAACCCACCTGGGATACGTCTCGTTCCACCCTGTGACCTTGTGTTAGCCAGAAGGCCAGGAGCTAGGATCCAAAAATGGCTAGGCGGGTAGGCAATTCTCAAAACGCGGGTCCCTCTTTATCATCTATATCCCATCAATGTCTCGAGGATTATAGGGAATTTATATTTTTTGTGGATTATATTGTCTTCAGTTCCAGACAAGAGACCCCTACCTTGGCAACAGCCCCCATCTAACCTTCAATACTCTTGGCTCTAAACTCATGCACCCGCAGACACTGAACCCCAAACACGCAGGCTCAGGTCCCAGACCCTAAGCCCGGGGACACCTGAATCCTTGCCAACATCATGGAACTATAGCCGTGCACCACATGCGAAAGAAAATGGAAAGTGACATGGACACTTGATTCCACCGAGGTTTATAGGGTGCATTGCCCCAATCTCCAGGACCGTAAACCCCAACCGCAATTTTCAGGCTGTCCGCTCCGTCGCGGTCGAAGTCCAGCTGGCTGAACAGCTCCGCAGTCGTTAGCCCTACGCTCTTCCTCAAGCTTTGGTTTGGGGTTAAGGGTTTGGGATGCAGGGTTGAGGAGTGACAGTTCAGGGTGTTCAGGTCAGGATTCAGGCTTTAGGATTTATAGTTCGGTGTTTTGGGTTTCGGAATCAGAGTTTTGATTTCTAGTTCCTGGTCGAGAAATCAGGGTTTCCAGGATCTTGCCATTGAATTAGCCAATCTTGAGACATCTGACGCCTGAATGGGGATACGTTTGTACGTGTCAAAACTTCTGGCCAGCAACTCTTTCGTCCTGAGTCCGTTCGTAGGGATCTTTGCCGGCCCAGCTGGAATGTCTGTGCATGCCGGATGCAGGGATGGATCATCTGGTTACGGGGTTTTCGCAATTGAGGTACAATTAGCAATCTTGAAGATGTAAAGGGACGAAACGGAGCTTTGAATCTTTCAGCGATTGCTTCGAGAAAGTGACGGCATGATAACCACATGCCTGCGAACCCAGCAAAGAACAAAAAACACTCTGAAGCCCTGCCCTCGCCTTCTGACGCATGCCGCCATCAAAACTAAGTACCCTTGGGAACCAAAAGATTGCACGACCACTCTGCTTGTCAAGAGTCATAGAGCCCCGGATTCGATTCAAAATCTTGTCAGCCCGCATCTCGATGCTGCGCTCGTCATCACGGAGCGTGGCAGGCTCTTTGGCCCTCCAAGCCATTTGCCCAACAATGACAACCCTGGAGATATGAAACTTCTACGCAAGAAAAGGCTGTTGATATTTTTTTGTAATCTACCTTAGTAGTCACAGGTGCACAATGATAATAAGAGGGTGGGACAACTCAACCTATGTGTGTACCCAATCTGAACCTTGAGAAATATAAAGGGCATGTCATTCCCTCCACACATCCTCCTGTGCTACCCTACCAGCTTGAGAATGACAGAGGATCACCATCGCACTTATCTTGCAGGGTCTATGGGGCTATGGGTCATCAGGATATCGTTTGCAATTTATCTCTGCGTGGTAATTGGGGTGACATGCACAAGTCAGCTCTCGTCCACAGATAGTTTCCGCACACAGATCCCAAGCCAAAGCTGCAGTCGTCCGCATCTTGACAAATCAAGATGTCTTGCACGGAGTCACGGAGTACCTACTCCGACTCTAGCAAAAGCCCACACGTCGAATAGGGACTGCAGGGTTTTGGAATCGCTCCATGCTTACACCCAAAACCCTGAAATGGTGCTTTTTCAAAGGAGATATTTTGGGGGACCACGGGAAGGGCCCACTCGGGGATTCTGTGCAAATGCTGACAACCACCCAAACAAGAGTGAGGCTGCGTTAGTCTGAGGTCACCACGCCTGCATCTGAGGGGTTGCTTCCCTTCACCTTCAACCACTTACTGGTGGCTAGTAAAGATCTCCACGTGAAAGCAGGAGTACTATGCCCAGCTTGAAGTAAGGTACCAAACACATCATCCGGAACTCTAAAGTTACGAGTTAGAATCGTCTTCTTAGGGGTCTTGTATCATGCCCGTGCAAACACGAATATTTTCGTGCCATGTTCCTATTCCTGCTGCGCATACTATGTCAGTAACGTTGCGACGCAAGATGTTGCAACGGACCCAGGAGGCCTCCAAGACAACTTCTTTCGCAGATGCGGCTTTGGCCTTTCAGCCCATCACTTGGGCACGTCTCAAAATGAAAAGCTCCCTTCAGAGGGCTCTCATGTCATGGCTTCCCCAGATCTTGTGTGAAACTTATGCAGCTGGCACCCCTTCTTTTGAGAAGGACCACTTGCTTCCGTTCTGAAATAGCAACTGCTCTGAGTCGGGAGCTATGAGCGAAGAGTTGTCATCTCCTACGAGCCACCATCCTTTTTGCTGGCCTCGGCATACCAATCTTTCAGGCCTTTCTCGCTATCTGACTCTGCCTTAAGTAGTGGACCACAAAGTCCCCAACCATGCCAATATGCAAAGCAACCTCTCAAAACTGATGCAAGGTAACCTACAGGAGATCTTGAATTTTCACAGCGAGCCCCATCACTTTACGACGGCCACCCGCCCAACTCTGTGCACTTAGCCTCCGGCGACCCCAGCGGAGTTCGAAAAACAAAGCAGGCGCTGCCTGCTGCATTAAGGACAATTCCAGGAAGGGGAGCTTGCAATGGGGGAGCTATCATTACGGGTATGTATGTGTATATGTATATGTATATCTTCTACATCTATAATGTAATGAATTATACGGGCTATCTTGGGTTTTGAGGGCTTATCTCAGGAGTTTTTATGCGCTCATGGCAGGTCACGGTATGTCCATGCTGAGATTCAGCGTCATCTGCCACACTCCGGGTATCTTCCTGAATTGGCATTTTTTGAAGACTTCACCCGTATAATCCCTCTCCCATGTATCCCTGGGGTCCTCAGAATCACCCCTGTTTTGAGAAACTCTCAGAAAAGCAGCATTCTGCAACTGCTGGTTGAGCCAAGAAAGATTACGTAGACATTTTTCAGAAGGAAAGTTAAGCCAAAAGATCTCAGAATCTCTCAAAGAAGGGAGCCTTGAGTACCGCGGGGAGGTAAGGGGGGTAGAAGGGCACCCTCTTACACATTTTATTCGAGAAATTTTGAGAAACTCTTTTTGTACAATCCTTACCTTACTTGTCCGGTATCTAAGGCTTTCAGAAGGTCAACCCTTCGGTTGAAACTGGTTCTATAGGGCCCAAGAAGGTTGACGTCTACCCACTGTTCAAGTGACTGGCCTTTGGTTAGCTAGGAATGAAGGAATGGATCCTTAATTATAGTAGTCCCCATATAACCCATTATAATAATGTCCATGTTCTTTTCCATTCTCTCTATGTAACCCCAACATACACCCTCTAATCCCTATATGAACCCTATTTAATCTGTAGAATCCCTAAAGTTTCCATTCCCTGATTCCCAGCTAACCAAAGGTGACTTACTGCTCAGCATAGCGGCCTTGGACGCCTTTTGCGTCAGCTTGGCCGAGCCCAAGAGCCACATCTGGGCCATCAGCGGGGTATTTCTCAGAATTCTGGGACCCTTTTTGGTTACACATTATATTACGGCACTTAATATTGAGGGGTACCAAAATGGGACCCTAATTTTGGGAACTCCCAAAAGCAGGGCTTAGGGTTGCACCGAACTTCCCAGACCTCTAGAAGTGGATTCCCAGAAAGGATTTCCCAAAAACATATGCTTGTGTTTTGGGAGATCTTTTCTTCTGGGATTTCAGTTTTGTAGGATACATTTGGTTAATGTGGTTGATTCTAGGGATGAGTACCTGAGTGCCTGACAGGCCGAGGATCAGTGTCCTGGCACTTGACGCAGCCTGCTGGCATGCCTTTATGTATGACATGAGCCGCAAGAACTGTCTGAGAGGTTTGATGACTCTGTGGGTTGGCATCCAATAAGTTGTGCCGCAAAATTCGAGTGACTGCAGCAAATCCGCACCTGCAGTGACCATGCATGTGGCTGGCAGCCCACATTGATACACCTCACCATGCAGTCTTTCCGTGAAAGCCCTGGAAAGATCAAGTGGGTCGTCGCAAATGTATCCAACGAAAAACGAACCACAAATTCTTGAGTCTCCTATGATCTGGCGATCTTGATTAAATCCCAGCATGACCCACATCATCCCCACACATTCCCTGAAGCAGCCACAAACTCAAACCTCTTCTCTCGACCCATCCAGCAATCACCTAAGTACTAGCCCCTAACATGACCGTTTGCGCATGATATCTCCTCGAAAGCAAGTGATACCTCCTGCAACGATGGTCGCCATGCGTCAGCCCTCAGGTCACATGTTGCGAAAAGATCTGGGGCTATGTAAAGGGGACCATATAAGGGCTGCACGATGATTGAAGCGGCTTCTTATAGTTTTAGGCCGATTGTCAAGCTTAGGGTTCCTATCTGCATGCAAGAATCAGGGTGCTGAATCGAATAGCATTAAGGAATTCAAAGAAAACCCTGGTTGTAATGAGACCCATGTAATCATCTTTCCTGATACTCAACACTCTCGAAATCACATCCCAGGTGGCAGTTTACTGCTGGGGCACGGGCACTTGAGCAGCTGCGACCTCAAGAACTGTTCAGAAGGGGGCACAGGACGAATGAACGCTGCCACGGCTCTGGACTTTTGTGACACGATCATCGTATAGTTGTTGTAGGGCTTTGAGCTGTCAAGATTTGATAAAACAGACCTGGGCGTCGCGCGGGCAAGCCGGAAGAGCAAAGGCTGCCATCCAACTCCTTCCGACGACACGTCGGGTGTCCAAAAAATCCGTAACCCTGCAGGAGCAAGTGCCGCCTCTTCGGACGGAACTCGTGGCAAGGCGACCTGTCATCACGGCAAAGCTTGAAAGGCATCGGTGCCTCGAAACTAGCGAAAGTAAACGCGAGGGATGACCAGCACGAGGTGGGCCGAGTCCGCTGGAAGCTTTGTTCCATTCCTGAGAAATCTGCAGACATGACAATTTTGTATTACTCCGTGGCCGCTGTTTTGTCTGGTCCTATGTCAGTCCCATCCAAGCCAAAGGTCTTGTAATCCACCTGCAAAGTCATAGTCCCTGGCTGCGAGGCGACTGAACAAAAGCATCAGAATAAGAACTATATCATATATCTGCTCTTCTTGGCCTCCTATCGAGCTATGTGCCAAGCTAGGGGCCTCCACACTTTCGAGGCACTTCAAGAAAGCTTGCACCCACTTTATTGCTCATTCTGAAATATCTGGTGTCGGCAGATTAGTAGTAGTAGTAGTAGTAGTAGTCGTCGTAGTAGTAGTTGTAGTAGTAGTCGTAGTGGTGGTGGTGGTGGTGG